CCTTCTCGGTGGTCATTTACAGTTACCTATTAAATTGTCCTGATGACCACCATTAAAACACTCTCTGTCATCTAGTGAATTTGTTTCAGCCTCAACTTCAGCATCAGACACCTTGCAGTTTGATCACTGTGAGCTTCCAAAGGGCTTCAACTTAACACGCCCTTGAAGCAGTGTGTGTCCCATTCAGGAATGTAAACAGACCCACTGATAAGCAGTTCTCTGTATTCTTTTGACCATCCACCAATGGCGGATTCAATCACAATAGCCAAATCATACTCTTCATCATTATTATTGGCAGAACATAATTTTCATGAGCAGCACAGAAAATGCTCAAAATATTCTAATTTGTTTTCTGTCTTTACCTTAGTAATTTGGTATTATCATCAACAACACTAATTACAAGTACTGTTGCTGTTATCCCAGCTTATCTTTTACAAAACCTCATCTGCAAATCTCTTCAAAGTGAGATCTTCAGAGCAGAGCTGTTTACAGCATTTGCTCTCTTCTGTCTCTCTATTTATTTATCTATTTATTTATTTTCCCGGACTGTTCAGTTACTCTTCATAAAGTGTAACAATTTGTACATCATTATTTTCATTACAACTGGTTTGAAGCCTTTTTCCTTCCATTACATGGTTAGTCTGCAGATTCAACTTAATATTATCATTATTGTCTCAGTCTTATCTCTACTGTTTCTCCAAAACAGATTATATTACTCAGTCCGTAAATTACACAGACAACCATTATAGCTACTTGCTTCAATACCCTTATTTTCTTAACATTAATAAAATAAAGCAGATATATCATCATTTCAATCATTATTTTATCAAAATCTAGAATTGTTCCCCATTCTGCTCAAAACATTCTTCATATCATGTTAATCCTTGTCAATCATACAATGCCTTATTTTATTCTAAAACTTTTCATATCATTTAAACAGTTAATTTGACTTCCATAAATTCTGTCAGACCATGTCTATTTTCATCACATATAGTTTTCTACTATATTTCTCCTTTCTTTTCCCTACATGCCAGTTCCTTCATTATCTAACCAGTACATGATTGTTTGAACAATCCCCACACACACATACCTCTACAGTTCCCTCTATTCCACACAGACAGCCTTATTGCTTCTTGCCACTTCAATCCTTGTCATATAAATTTAAGTTCTATAGACATCTAATGTCATGCATCCATTTACTGGATAAAGAAGTAAAAAACATTATTTCTCCTGGCAGTTCGACATTTTATCTTCAACTGAACAATCCATTATCTGTTCACATTTTTTACACACATGTTGAACGCAGCCACAACAACCTTTTGTCCCGCTGCCCTGTTCCACTGATTCTCGCACACTCTTAGTCTATTTGTGCTCAGTGTTCCCTCCCTGGGAAAATCATGGTATTTTCTCAGTTTTTTCAATATCTAAAACATACATTTTTTCCCCCATACTTTCCTAGTTCTACAGAAAACCGGTGTATCAAATTTCGCAAGCTTGCTTTTGAGACATCCCCATACTGGCTGTTTTCTGTTCTCTGTGGATTTCTCTTCAACGCGCGTTCTCTTGGTCTGAAAGGCGTCCCTCCCAGACCCGATTTTTCTTTTAACCCAAATCGGTCGGGTTGCACTATTAGTGCCCTCCTAATTATGGTTTACCAAAAAATCTTTTCTGGTTCCCCCTAATTAGCCTCAGCACCTAAAAACAATTTGCTCCGTGGTGGAACAACTAATTTTCAGGGTACCTATCTGTTTGAAATCTCTTGATCTGTTACAGTTCTCACTTAATCCCAGATTATTTATCTGCTTGAAATTTCTTGTTCTGTTACAGACCTCAATTAATCTCAGATTTTTCCCTCGTATCTGTTTGAAATTTCTTGATCTATATAGATCTCAATTAATCTCAGATTACGTACCACAGAAACAGCCCTCAGCCAATATGGTTCAATTTCACTCTTTCCCCAATTAAACTGAATTTAATTAACTTACCCAAAAGAAAATAAATTGAACTGTCTCTTACCAGAGATGCTTCTGTTGCCACCTGCGGGTTCTTTAGGTTCCAGTGGTCGATTCTCCCGGCCCTGATATCGGTCGGCCCCTCTCTCTCAAGTTTACGAGGTAGAGCTGGAACTTACTTAGCCCAGGTGGCCAAACACCGTCCGATCTCAGGTCCAGGAGGCACGTCCAAGGAATATCACTTCTGACACCAAAACTGTTGTGGCAAAAATTCATCTCAAGCAAACATCACTGCGTAAGAGACACTCAGAGTCAAATTATATAAAATAGAAGAATTTATTCTTGCAAGAATAGGAGCAGTCTAATACACAGTTGTTACCCTGTGCAGAAGAGTGACACACCCCCAGACAGACTGAACTAGCTTTTATCTTAGTTTCAAGGCCTTCTTCCCCCCAGAGCCTTCCTCCCAGTAGTTTTCCATAGACGTCACTAGTTGGCCCCATAGGCCCCCCTGCACCCAAAATGGCCTTCTGACATCTAGGTCAGAGGTCCTTGTTCGTCTGTTCTCTGGAGTGTCTCCCTCTTCTGCCTCCCCAGGTACATAAACAGAATCTTCTCTCACTACAAGTGAGAGACACACATGTGACATTCTTTGAATCATCTATATTTTACACATTGAATAGGTTCTCTCTCTTATGATATCTGTTAGGGATCAATGACTATTAAAATTTCCACAACATGATCTATATTCTAATGATATAGGAATCTATAGGACTCTAATGATCATATATAGGAAATCTAATGATTTATAGGAAAATTAAGCTGTCTTTTCAAGTGATCAACCAAAACGGATGCATGTTGCTTGGATTGTGATTAGTGATATTGGGCTATGTTAACAAAATTGACTTGTTTTGTTAAATGTTGTTGTAAAAGAGTTGATTCGATGCCGAATTCCTTGCCAAAAGATATACGTCTTTTTGACTGAGAAAGCCAGGGAAGAGCAGACGCAGGAGAAGAAGTGATGATAATAAAAGGAGCACAGTTTATTGAATAATCTTAGTTGCGTATTAAATGTTTCAATGTTCAGACTGTCTAGAATATTACACTACTCAATGCTTTGACTTCGTCTGACCAGTACAATTCCAACAAGTGTTATTATACCAAGGGAAAAACAATGAAAAATATATGGTTGCTTTCTTAAAGTAAAACACACAGTTTGTAATTGAAAACTCTTAGATCCTTCAATTGTGTTGTCTGTGCTACAAAACTTTCAACCTCTGTAGCATCATGTGCAAATAAATATGACCTATACTAGTAATATTGATTATTATTATTACTAAATAAAATATTAAACAAATATTGTTATATATTGTAATATTTCACTATATAGTATTTAACATATTTAATAATAATTGTTATAAAATATATAGACAAACAATCTCGATGCAAGTTTGGAAACGTGTTGTACATGAGACATTGAAAACAATGGATTTTGAGCTGTACATATGTAAAATAACACAGTGCTGCATTTCACTCTGAAAAAATTATGTCATTAAAAATGTGATTATCACACAAATTCATATCACGATTTCAGTGTTATTCTGATTAATCATGTGGCCCTTGTAGTTCCAGAACAAAAATTTCAGAACAGCTAATATTGCTTATTGCGCTTTTAAAAATGTGCTACATCAGGCTAGAATAAGCAGCTAAAGATATAAACTGAAATTCTGTTAATAAAAGGAAATGGAGGCTCTCAAGTGGGACACAGTCTTTCATCCCTTGAAATGATCAAGCAAAGCCCAATCTGCTGTGAGGACACTGAGCCCTGTACCCAGGTCTGCTCAACAGGATTTATCCTCATTTTCTGCTCATTAGATGCGACTTGACGAAAGGCTTGTGTGGGTGTTGGTGGTATCTTTGAAGGAAGTTTTTGTGTTTGTCGGGTCTGTGAGTTTGTGTGTGGGCAAAGAACCGGTGTTAGTGGAGTCATTCTTCCTCTGACTGCCTTTTATACACTTCCTGACGTCAAGGCCAGCCGTTTCCCCAGTAACACAAGCTCTGCGGTGATTCATATAATCACAGTGAAATTCTTTAAAGTGGGATTTTCTCTCGATGCCAGCTGAGTATCTCTTTCCATACCTTAAAACAAACCTCCATGCAGACTGATGCATGCAGCATACCAGCTCCAAACACAGCAGTGCTCTCTGAATGAGCTTGCAGTTATTTGCATGCTGTCACTCTGACACTGATTTAATAATAATAATAATAATAATATCAATAATGAAGGGCCCATTAGCAAAGTGCGTTTACAACATACTGGCTGGTATTTGCGTAACACTAAGTTCACAATGAGTTCACCCTTGGTTTGAGGACAAGTAATCAAATGAACTAAAGCAACTGCTTTTTGCTCTTTATTTATATCATTTTTAAAATTCTTTATTTTATTTGTATTTAAATAATTTATTGAATGTTAGTTGACGTGTTGAAGTTTTAATTTAGTCTTTTACTTAATGTCTTGACTTATTTATTTTTTAAATATATTTTATTTATTTATTTATTTATTGTACTTATTAACATCTAATTTGCATTTAACCCCTGGCCCACTTCAGCTCTGACACAATTGTGTCAAGGTTTTATTACCATTAGATAGTATGCATTTGATTACCCTCAAAAAAACCAAGTGGTTGAAAATGAATGCCTTTTTCTTTTGACAGTCTTCAGTTGTTCCGCTCTCTTAAAACTGCAGTCCAACTTCTCATACTTTCTGAGAGTCCTATTGATGAGAGTTTGCCCTGGGAGAGCTGCACTGAGACAGATGCTTAACTACCCAGGGAGGCGTCGTTAGTGTAATCATGCAAGCTCACACCGGCAGCCTCATTAATTATCTCTGCCGGCTCAAAGAGAGGAAGAGGCTATCAGAATGTGTGTGTGTGTGTGTGTGTGTGCGCATATATCTATGGGTGGTTTGTGGAGTTGAACGCACAGGAGGAAGTTTGCATGCACCTTTCGGCAGAGGTGAATGACACAGTGTCACCTCTGACCCCGCAGGTCCCTCAAGACGAGTGGGCAGGCTTTCCATTGGGGAAGGATGACGATATCCCATGCAGACGCATGCGCAGCGGCAGCTACGTAAAAGCCATGGCGGACGATGACAGCGGAGACTCGGACGGAAGCCCTAAACCCTCGCCCAAGATGCAGGCTCGACGGGCCAGCTACCTCAAAGCCACCCAGCCATCACTGACAGAGATGACCACTCTAAAGTAAGTTCTAAGATTTACATCCATAGGTATTCTATGTATTAGTATCTGTAGTGTAAAAGTTCAGCACTGATCTGGATTATTATCGTTGACTAAAATGGAAACCATAAAAAATGTGTTACTTGAATTATAATAAATGTTCAATATATCTTAAACTTATTTAGTTTCAACTAGTTGTCAAGGCATCATTTCTCATTTTATTTTAGTTTAAATTGAAGTACTAAAAAAAACTAGAAATAAAACTTGAAAATAACTATGTTAGACCCATTTAAAAAACGTATTCAAGATTTTAAAATAAAAACAGAAAATATAAAAATAAAAGCTAATTCAAAACATTAATAAAAACCATAATAGTATATCAATGATACTAAAATAACACTGTCGTGACCACTCGTCATTTCCAGACCGTAATCATGTAGGGTACAACGGGTTTAAAGGCACACTCTAAGAAAAATGTGCTGTTCACTACTCCTATATAGTGTTTGATCGCAGAAAAAAAACTTTTTATTGAACATTGATGGACCAACAGATTTTGTGAGAAAAGAAATCATAAAAGTGGTTTGTTTGTTTAAAAATCTTATAAATGTATGAGGTGGCAAGGTGGGCCTTTTACCCCAAACACGACGTGAAAGGTTTACCAGCATATGGGGTAAAAGGCACAAAGTATTGATACAAATACTTGAGCTAAAATAATATGTTTTTAATAAAGTCCAAGTTAATACTTGTTCAAAACAATCACTTTGGCAAAGTTTACACTATTTTCAATTTATTTTAATAAATAAAACAATAGATTTTTGTTCAATAACTATACTGTCATTAAAATGTTCATTTTAAAAATACAGAAACAAAGTTATTTAAATAAGTAAAGATTCTGAAAGCATTGAATGAGATCACATAATAATTTCATAAAACTTTACAATAGTAACATATACATATATTTTATTATATGATATGATTAATATCATATTTTTAAATATGATTTCATTATAAATATATTCATAATAAATTATATTTACCATCTGAATCTAACCATGTCATGTCAACAAATGGAAAAGTCAGCCAGCTATTTATTATCCTGTTAATTATTGTGCCTTTAGCCCCAACTGTAGGGGCACCTTTTACTCCAAATATCATACTTTTAAATATTACTTTGTTATTGAAAAACTGTTACTTTATTTACCTTGAACAAAACTGAAAATCATTAACAAGGCCTTTGTCTCAAAATATAGACATTAATTGTATCGATTCTCATTTGCTACATAGTAGGCTACATACCTGTCATCTCCAAGGTGTTTGATTTTTTACTTTACCATGTTTATGTTCAGAGACTCATGTGAATGTTTAAGTCAGCAGGACTCATCAGTGGCATCTGGTCCCTTTAAAAATATTTTTTTAGAAAGAAAAAAAACACCTGTGAAACATGCTGATATCAAAACTATAGGGCTGCACGATTTTGGGAATACATTTTAGATTTTTCTGGTTAAAATGATTACATTTACTAAATACATACACTATATATATATATATATATGAACACCAAGTTTGTTGTGCCTTGTAGGCATATATGTGTAGGGCTATATAAAATATTAACAATAGCCTAGATAGCAGGCAGCCTATAAATCGTTAAAAAGGAACACTTCAGTAACACTACACTTGAGAAAAATATATGGATTATCATATGTTACTTCAAACGTTTCCATACGTTACGACGTTATGAAATGAGATTAGAGTAAAAACATGAAGCCTAATGTTTGGTGCGTTTTGCTTTTCAAACCCACAGAGAACTCAAACTCACAGCACGTGCAGAGGACATTTACTGAAGCGATTGAGCCGCTCCAAACTATGAAACTTTATTCATATTATACATACGTGTGAGGAGATATCCACAAACACAGTATTTAACAGTAAACACAGGTCTAAACATTAAAATATTCACCAAGAATAAACACTCATACGAGCCTACTGTTATATCGTGCTGTGTTTAATTATCGAACATAAAAACGTTCTCGTGTCGTACATGTAGGCCTATATACATTTAGCATTAGGCTTCATGTTTTTACTCCAATCACATTTCATAACGTACATTTTAGCCTGGCACCAGTTTAACTAGTAGCTACAATGTAAAGTTTATGCAACAATAATATGCTACTATTAGTGTCTTACCTTAAAAATCGTTCTCATAATCAAATCGTGTTCTTCTAATTCTTCTGAGGTAAATCCAAGGTAAACAGCACAGCACAAACAACTCGATGAAAAGCAGAGCAGTACTGAAGTCGCTGATTCTTTGTTTTGAGGTGATGAGGGCGGTAACAGCTCTGCGTTCCTCCGCGTGGATCATTTGCATGTGAACAGCTCTTGCCCGTGTGTGGGCGTGGTCACATTAGCACTAATCAGCTCGGGCTGGAGAAACTGTACATGTCGTTGCTTTCATACGAATTACTTAAACAGAGAATATTGTTTGTTTTGTTTTTGATATGATTTACATCATTTAAAAATGGAGACTTCAAGCTTCGCAAAGACATATGTTTCATGTCACAGTGACAAGCATTCGCTGAGTTATAGGTCATTTTCTGTCGCGTTTCAGAATGAACTTCACATTGAGAGAGACAGGAGAACGCGCATCATGTTTATTTTCTTTAATTTATGAAAAACACAACATTTTGTTTTTATTATGAGTGTACACAAATGAAATAAGACATTTAACAGTTTTGAATGATGTGTAACACATATATGTAAGATCAAAATCAACAGATTATTTTGAGTTTGTTTTGCACTGATAAAAAAAAAAGCGAGCAGATCACGCCAGCGTGATTGCCGACCCCAGAGGGTTAAAGGGACCCATTTGCATTAAGAGGTCCATTGTTAGACAACCAGTCATACTATTGAATGGTCGTGCAACATTCTTTTATTTTCCCCTGAGACGAGAGAAATCCACTATATACCTTTTTCACTTCCTCCTACAATGACGCAAAAATCGTCATTTGACGTCATTGTAGGAGGAAGTGTAAGAGGGGGGGATTTCTGTATAGACTACAAGCACAAATTCCCACCCTTTCAAACCCGCCCATAGGGGGTTGGACCTAATGCGCTAACAGAGCTATCACAGATCAGTGGGTGGGACTTCACTTGCAGATACTGAAATCAATATCAGCCATCTTGTTTATAAGCCATCTTGTTTATAAGCCAAGCTAACAAGTGCTGTGGAGATAGGAAGTTACGACAATGACGGAAGAAACTAAACATGATATGGAAGAAGAGGATTTTGAAATTCTGCTGCTCGAATCCGCTGTTCGTGGCTATCTTTACGAGCCGCAATATAGTAAAGAGCAGCTGAGGCTGATGGAGGAACAGGAGGCGGACGAGGAGCCCGGACTAGCTCGAGCTGGGCGGACTGCTGGTGCCTGTGCTCTCGCTGTGCGCTACGGACACAGATAGAGTCCGTCTGCTGCAGAGAATTTCAACGATGGCAATTTCTCCTGGACGAAATCTCTGAATCAGACGAGCACACAGACTTTTGTGTTGTGATGTGAACCATCCTAGTGTCGCACCGCATATGTTCTGACTGAACATCCAGGTAAAATGCAATAATTTACCATATAGAAAGAAATACAAACGAGGAGTAATTCGCTAATGAGTTTGCCAATGTAACAGGGTTCGTTGTTGTGGGAAGAAGGATGCGGGAACCGGCGAACATTTAAACATTTTAATAGTAAAATAAACAAATACAAAACAAAAGTATAAGCCCGCTGGCCACACACAACAGAAACAAAACATAAAATCAGGCCTGTTCCTTTTGTGCTTTCGCTCCTTCGTGAGAGATATGAGACCGCAGCACAGGTGTCATTCATTATCACTCGCGTCGTCCTCTCACGTCCCTCGCCCTCGTCCTGCTCGCCACAGCCAACTAACTAGACATTTTGTGTGAAATGAATTTCAAACTCATTTGGCAGCTAACGTTAGCCTTGTAGACGGAAGAGTGATTTCTCTGATGTTTGCGCTGTTCTGGATTAGTGGGAGTGGCTTGCGGAGCTGTGCAATGTGGTGCATTGTGGGAGTTGTTGTCTTACATACAAATGCGCCCTAAAGTTATTTTCTGTCTTTTTTCGGTCAAGAGGGCACCAAATTCAAAATTTCTTTTACATTTCGACTACATATATAACCCACTTTCAATAAAGATTAATGTTGAAATGGGTGAAGTGACCCTTTAAAGCCACACTATGCAGGGATTCCGTTTTTGTCAAACAGCGACCCCTAGAGTCGCTGTGGAGTACTTGAATTTAACATTACTGTCGTAAATACCACTCACGCAGAGCGCCTCTGCACTCACGGCTAGTGTGCCTTTAAATAAGAGATGTGTTTTTGAACTCAACCTGAGCGCTCGTGTCCGCTGCTATCAGTGTCATGGATACATAGTGTCTCTTGTAGCGGCGCGCGCGCAGTCTTCACTCGGACGCGCTCTTCAATCTATCGCCATTGCGGAGACTCTCTATTCATTCCGGTGAAATCACAAAATAAAATGCACACAAACTTAGAAATATTTACTTACTAGTCCATCAACAAGATCGCCAGGTCAGCATCACTGTTGCATCCAGTGGTGCTTTTTAGCTCGTGCCAACAAGTGAAAAGCCCGACCACGTTTTCTTTGCCTTTTCCATCGTCGAGTATCACGTCTGAAATGCGCGCAAGTGTCTTTGTGCTTCATATGTTGTTGTTGATTTGTGTGACGTCATTGCCGTAAAGCATGTCGTGATTCTCGCGAGATTTGTCGGGGGCGCTCCTCAAACTTGCATTGCTGGTTTTTCCAGCGGCGTCTCCCCCAAGCTTTACTACCAGGATGATTCGCCCCATAGATTCCCCTACTATGAGTTTGTTGACCACCGAAATGACTTTGAAGCTCTTATATTAAGGTACAATTCTTGCATAGTGTGCCTTTTTAATGACAGTTTTCATATTATTTGAACTGATTATTGATTTGCCAGTTGATTTATGAATTAATTCCATTG